GTGCTTCTACCCAGCAAATGCAAAGCGGTCTTCTGCTACGGGACGATGCTGGCAAGTAGATGTAGTATGCCGCTTGGAAAACTTTGGGTCATGTCATAGGTGGGTTTTTTCATTTATCTGAAAGTGTGAATGTAAATAGATTATTATTATATTTGCATAATGATTCTTACTCTGATGGAGAGTGTCTGTTTCCTTGCACGTTATGTTGTATGGGAAGGAGCTGACACTAAAGTGAAAAGAATAATTTAAAAATAAGGTTTCCGCATGGTAGATTAAACCAGAAGCAGAAACTAGCATAGAATAAGCATAACTGATGAAGAACAAGTAAAACTCTAACAAAGCAGTGGTGTTTGACAGATGTCTTGATTTTTTTGTAGCAGAATATATGAAGTAATTCATGATAATATCATATTGTCTTTTTAAGGCACCTTTCCACCAGTGTTCTCAAATCCTTTAACAAGTTTACTCGTTAATTTATCTCCTAATCCTGCTGTGAATTAAGTTTCAGTCTTGGCTATCCTAAACTGCTCTGGCTTCATTCCCTTCCCTTCTGTTCCCTTCCCTACCACTCCTGCAAGTGATGACTCAGACTAAGGAACTGATCCAGCTGAAAATTAACCAAATTTTCTTGTTGTTGTTGTTGTTGTTGTTGTTATGGTCAGTTTGCTGACCTGAGTGATGAGATAGGAACATGACTGGAGACAAAGGCGAGCCTGTTTGCTTTTCATAGTTATCTTTTATGGGCCCACCTCCCTCTGCATTGTACCCCATCAGGATTCGTGGGCTAGCGGTAGGAAAGTTCTCCTACTACAGGGAAATACGGGATTAGAATTAAATTAGAATTAATAATAAAAAATAGTGACTTTTGGGGGGTTTTGATGGTGTTGTTGCAGTAAGCATATAGAAATGTCAGTATTGTCAGTAATGCTTAGGCATGACAAAGGTTTTAGAAAGTTATTTTAAATGATTTTCAGTTATAAACATCCAAGTATTTTGATGCATATGCATGAGGAAGTCTGGGTTTGCCATGCCTACACATGGATTAGCAGGAAATAGGTGCGATTTGGCATCACCCTAAGAATGGGGATACTTTTGTGTGTCTGTCATTGCAGAGGCAGATTAGAGACAGTCATCACTACAAGAATTGGCTCCTGAAGTTGATGAAAAGGAGTCAGAGCTGAACTGGAGATGGAATTGGATGTCTGGATGGGACTGGACTGGACTAGACAGGGCAGGTCACAGCCCAAATGAATGTGGGAGAAGAGACAGTCTTGTATGGGCAGTTACACAAATATCCCGCATTTTGCGTTGTATCTGATGCAGTTTGTGAGGGAATATTTGAGCCTTTCACAACATTACTCGTCTTTATAAGTGGATGAAAGTGTCAAAACAGTAACATTAGTTGGGCAGTGTAGAGGGTGGTTCTCTGCTGCATGAGGGAGAGATGCTGCTTTTGATTTTCTTGGTGGTCTTGATCAATGGAGTAGTGCTAGAGTAGCTTAGCAGGAGATGGAGTATTGTGTTTGAAAAATTAATTGTGAAGTGCAAGATGAGGACGTTTTGAACCAGCATGCTTCCTTAGGTCTGGCAAAACCCAGTGAAACTGTGATGAGTCCAGGTTTACTTACTAGGGTCAGCACAATGACTTTTAGAATGAGGGACATTTGCAAAAAACATACGTAGCCTGTTGACATGAAAAGACCCCTAACTGCTAGATGCTTATCACAAAATCACAGAATCACGGAATGCTGGGGATTGGAAGGGACCTCAAAGGATCATCTAGTCCAATCCCCCTGCCAGAGCAGGACCACCTAGATTAGATCACACAAGAACGCGTCCAGACGGGTTTTGAACATCTCCAGAGAAGGAGACTCCACAACCTCTCTGGGCAGCCTGTTCCAGTGTTCTGTTACCCTTACTGGGAAGAAGCTCTTATGTTTAAATGAAGAAGACTATGAGACTGTATTACACCTTTTAGAAATCATGCTTCAAAACGCAAACTCTGCAAAGCATCACAAAGTCAAGCTCTCTAGAGTCAGTGAATTTCAAACCATAGGTTTTGCAAAACACATTTTCCCCTTCAACATTGCTCATTTTCTTTTCCTACACCTCCAGCTCCTTTTCCTTTTTATGCGAAACTGACTGCTTCCTTCTCCTCCGTCATCCTGGGCACTGCTGTTCAGGTTACAGGTGCTCAAGTTTTGCAGCACCTGAGTGCTTTTTCAGCTGAGAGGAGGACTGGAGAGGAAGGCAGTGTGTAGTGCTGAGATCTCCCAGAGTCTGTGGCTGGTGAATGCTGAGAGGCTGCATGTGCACCAAGGAGTAGTGTTGGAGATGTCTTGGCCGAGATGGGTAGATTTCATGGCAGCAACAAAATGTTCAGGGCGTCTTCACTTCCTTGAGAAATTTCAAGTACTGGCTCTAAAAGGTAGAGGGAGCTGGGACAGAGTGTGTTTTCTCCACACTCACTTCCTGAGAAAAATAACCTCTAAAAAAAAACTTAGTCTTAACTGCTAAGCAAAATTATGCTCTGAGAAAGAAGAGCTCTGTGTATGGTGGAGGGTATTTTCTTTTTTTAACCTTGGCAAAGTGTTAATTTTGGAGATTGTGAGTGGCACGTTGGAGGCAGGTAAGAGACTATCAGATTTTTTTGTCAACACAGAGAGAGCTTTTTGGTTTTCCCCCTTTTTAATAAGGAAGGTGTCTTACAAGATAGGAAGTGTGCATATGTTAAAAAAAAAAAAACCACGAAAAAGACCCCACCGCTTCACTGTTGCAACAAGTCCTTTCAGTTGTTTCGTATTTTTTTCTCCTTCTCAAGAGTTGTCATTTTCGTAGCGTATGTGCTGCTGTAGGATGTGTACTGCTTATTGCTCTTCAAAGTGGTCAGTATTTCACTGGAAAAGTTGTAACGAAAAAGGATGAAATTAGAGGTTTTTCAGTCTTGTCTTTCTGATTCGTACATGTTTTCCCAAATCTTTTCCTGTGGAGAATTTTTTTAGTAAAGGAACAGCTCTTCATGTTGTAGTTAACCACAAGAATTAGGGTTGAAAGTCCATGGTTTACATTCTTCCTGAATCTTAAGTCATCATTTCTAGTGGAATTCTCTGTGTGTTTGTAATCATAAATGGATGAGTTAAAAATACTAGGAAGAAGATTGCCTGGCAGTTCTTTTGATGAGGTTACCACACAGGATCCTTGGCAGGTCTCATCTCCGCGTAACACCTGTACAGAGACTGGCGTAAAAAACTCTAATGAATTTAAGCTGAGAGTCCTCAAAGGGCTATCACCATGCAAATAAAAATAAGGAAACATTACAGATTTAGTTGTCTTCTATCCTGTATTTTTATTTAACTCTTTTATAAAGTAGTTGGGCTCTCCAAAATACATTGTTTTTAAAATGTTTTATTTGGATTCATTAGATTTATTGCCCAGATTATTCTTAGCTATTTTTAAAACGCTTTAAGCATGTCTTCTATGCATGTGTGTTAAAATTAAATTCGTGTACTATTAGTGTATTTGTGCTGTTGTAACAGGAAAAGCATTCTGACTTTTTTTTAAAACGAGCAGTCATATGTATGATCAACTTGGTTAAAACTTCCTTCCTGGTAAGTGCAGCACTTCCTTTGCATCTGGATATGAGGGCGAGCAAGAAAAGCAGAACAGCTTAAACAAAGAAATTTTTTGTGTGAATGGTCTTCCTTTAAAAAAATAGGAACCTCAGAAATTAAACAAATGAATCGTCTTCAGCAATTCAGCCTTTATTTTATAAGCAGGTAATTATTTCCTTGTGCTTTGTCAATTATAGAGGTGATGGGTCCACAGGCATTGCTTTCCGGAACTTGAAAAAAGAATTCTAGTTAGCATGCTGTGGTGTTTTATTTAGCCTGTTATGTTTTTATCTTCTTGTTTTATTGTCTCCTAAGGCATCGCTACATTGGGTTTAGTTTTTCCAGCATTAGAGGAAGATTTTATGTGTAAAAAGCGTTGTCTGGTGTTCACTATGTCGCTGTAACTTAGCTTGTGTAAGCACGCTCAATCAGTGCTGCCTTCCTCTTCCAAGCTCTCGGCAAATAATGTCCGTTTTTATATTGTTCTATGGAGATTAACTGTGAGCAACAATATTTTCTGTTTACTGAAAGCTGATAAGGTAAGCTACTCATGTTCAGAGTTGGTTTAGAGGTGTTTTAGGTGTGATTTGATGTATACGATAATAAATCAGCATCATCTTAAGAGTTTTTTCTTCTGTAACAAGCTAATAGTTTATACTGCAGGTGTTTAAAGTGGATGGATGTTTCAGTCAGGTGAATCGATTTATTTAAAAGAAGCACATGTAAGGATACTAGGCTTGAATTTAGATGCACATTAAATATCTGTCTTCAGAAGTAGTCCCTGACTTTTGAATTCTAAGGGCTTTTCGTGGTCTAAGTCCTTATTCCTCATCACTAAAAAGAGATGCAGAGGAAAATGGGAATAAGCTCAACTCTGTCCAGTCTGCAAATAAATTGCTTGTTTTGTTACTTTCTGTCATTCTTGGAGGTCAGTAAGATAACGTTCTGCTCATACACAGTAACGTGTCTTTTGATTTCCATGAAAATCCATTTATGTTAATATCAACAGCATCAAAACAGATGTGGCAGCAGAAGAATCAGTGCTTGATCAAATAGAAGCATGAATCAAATCAGTATGGTCAGACTGCTTATCCTCAGTGAAATCTGAGAAGGCTGTTTAAAAGGTCTGTTTTAATTATTTAATAATCGGGTGTTTTTTTTTTTTCTATATTTGATTTTGAATTGAATAGATTACATCTGAGGTGGTTTATGTAAATCAAGTATTTATGACGAGAAATTAAGAGGAAGGGGAAATATAAAAAGTGTATACTTAGCAAGATTTTGACCAGCCTGTGATTTTAATTAAGAAAAGTTAGAAAATAAGAGTAAAGAAAAACGTAAATGAGAAAGTAATCAAATATTTGTATATTTTGCTAGATTTCTTCTGGCATGGAGTTGGGGGATTATGAACAGCCAGTTGTTATGAGAGAGGAAAACAAACGAAGGAGAAGAAGAATGAAACCTCACTGTACATCAAGTACTTTGTCGTCAATGGAACTGATATCCATTGAATTCATTTTACCTACAAGCAATAAACATACTAAAGTACCAGAAATGATGTTACTCGAAATAGCTGGCAACTGTACGGTTGAGCAAATGAAAGCACAGATTTGGATGCGTGCAATAGAGATGAGTCAAACCACAGACTTCTACCACACATTCACCCCGGATCAATTTATTCTGCAGTATCAGAAGAAGGGGCAATGGTATGAAATTTATGATAAACATCAAGTATTACAGACGTTGGACTGCATACTGTACTGGAAAGTGTTACAGAAAAAGGTAGGCAAGATCTATGTTGTCCAGAAACAAAAGCCATCAGAAGAAGTTCAGGAATTTCAGCGGCAGCTTAACAATTTAATTGGCTATGATGTCACTGATGTAAGCAACGTGCATGATGATGAGCTAGAATTTACCCGTCGCAGATTAGTTACTCCACGAATGATAGAAGTAGCCTGTAGAGATCCTAAATTGTATGCAATGCACCCATGGACTACATCTAAGCCACTTCCGGAATATTTATTTAAAAAGATCACTAATAATAACATTTTCATAATCATACATAGAGGAACAACTAGCCAGAAAATTAAAGTGTCAATAGATGACACTCCAGATGTGATTCTCCACAGCTTTTTCACAAAAATGGCAAAGAAAAAGTCTTTGATGGACATTCCTGAAGATCATAGTGAACTGGATTTTGTTCTCAGGATTTGTGGCAGAGATGAGTACATTACTGGAGAGACACCAATCAAAGATTTTCACTGGATAAGACAGTGCCTTAAGAATGGGGAAGAAATCCACCTTGTCTTAGACAATCCCCCTGACCCAAATGAGGATGAGGTTCAGAAGGAAGAGTGGCCCTTGGTGGATGACTGTACAGGAGTTACAGGGTATCATGAACAGTTGACAATAGATGGAAAAGATCATGAGAGAGTCTTCACTATCTCTTTGTGGGATTGTAATAGGAAATTTAGAGTGAAAATAATTGGCATCGATATCCCAATTTTACCAAGAAATACTGATCTCACTGTGTTTGTGGAGGCTAACATTCAACACGGGCAACAGCTCCTGTCCCAGAGGAGGACTTCATCGAAGCCTTTTACTGAGGAGGTTCTGTGGAATATTTGGTTGGAGTTTGATATCAAAATCAAGGATTTACCTAAAGGAGCACTCCTGAATCTTCAGATATACTGTGGGAAAGCACAGGGACTGTCCACAAAGACGAACCTTCAGTCACATGAATCGCCCAACTCTGATTCAAAATGCAAAACTCAGCTTCTCTATTACGTAAATCTTCTGTTGATAGATCACCGTTTCCTGCTACGAAGTGGGGAGTATGTGCTCCACATGTGGAAAATTCCAGGCAAGGGGGAAGAACAAGGAAGTATCAATGCAGACAAACTCACGTCAGCAACTAACCCGGATAAAGAAAACTCAATGGCCATCTCTATTGTGCTGGACAAATATTGTCACCCAATTGCCTTGCCCAAGCACAGGATAACATCAGATCCCCAAGGGGACAGGACACGAGCTGAAATGCCCAACCAGCTTCGCAAGCAACTTGAAGAGATCATAGCAACTGACCCACTTAATCCACTTTCTCCTGAAGACAAAGAACTGTTGTGGCACTTTAGATATGAAAGCATAAAGCACCCCAAGGCGTATCCTAAGCTGCTTAGCTCTGTGAAATGGGGACAACAAGAAATAGTGGCCAAAACATACCAGTTGCTAGCTAAAAAGGAGGTTTGGGATCAAAGCACTTTAGATGTTGGACTCACAATGCAACTTCTGGACTGTAACTTTTCGGATGAAAATGTCCGAGCAATGGCAGTTCAAAAACTGGAAAGTTTAGAAGATGATGATGTTCTTCATTATCTTTTACAGCTTGTGCAGGTAAGGTGTATTTGCATTCTTGCACTCGGCCTTCCGGGAATATTTGCATTACCCCAACATCTTTCCCGTTTTAGGAGGTTTAGTTCGTAATCTCTGGTTTTGAAGCCTTCAGTGTTTAGTCAAAGCAGTGGTAGTAACCAAATTAACCCAAAACACACTTTCTACATTCGCCTTTTCCCTGTGTTGTTGTTTTTATGTTGTTGTTGCCTTGTGTCTTACAATTTGCATCTTGTGTTTACAGTAGTATGTTTTTCTGGAGATAGTCAACACTAGCACAGCTGCCATGGGAGCACATCCTACCTGTGCTGTCTCTTATCCTGTTTGTATCAGGTCTGAATCACATAGCACTGAAGAATCGTTGACTGGCTTTGTCAGTAGTTTAGAAAGAGCATAGACAGCAAAGGCAGATGTTGACATGGGCAAGGAAGAAAAAGTCTGGGATTGGATTTTAGGTCAAGAGTAACAGTGTAGTTACATAGTACGTGGCAATGACTTCAGTCCTGTACTGTTAAGGGGACCAAATTTGTTTAGAAGCTTCCAAAAATTTTCAAAAAGTAAGTAAAGGGTTGCTGGAATGAATTAATCTTATTACAGAGTCCTAGGAAGTTAGGTGGAAATCTATGTTTTTAATGGCAATGAATCACCGCTGTATCGACTTGAAGCGCTTCGTGTGCGGATTTACCACATGAAACGTCAGGAAAGTTTCTATCAGTTATACAAGAAAATTGGTTTGTTTGGTTTTTTCGCAACGCGGTGCCGGAGCCGGGCAGCCCATCGGTGGCAAAGTCCTGTTGGATGGCTGATGAGGGTTGTAACCCTGTGGTTCTTCCTGGTAAACACGTCCCCTGGAGCAAGGCATCTCTGCGGGCTTCCCACACCTGATGGGGCTCTGGTTCGTGCGGAAGCACTGTCCCCCTGCAGAGTAGGAAATACGTTTTTTCAGAGAATTAGAGGACAGAATTGGCATTGAAAATTACAAAAAATAAATAAAAAAAAGGAACTGCTGCAGCCTGGGAATCTGCGGGATGGGGCTTTAATTTCTGCGGGTTCAGAGAGAGCCCAGGTTCCCAGGAAAATGAAGTCAGTATTTCATATCTTGCTGCGGATCAGTAGTGCTTTAAACAAGGCCTTTTTAGCCTTGTCTTTGCTTGTCTGAAGATCAGGCTCCCCAGGCAGAATTTATGCACTTCTGCATTAGCCGAATCAGCTGCTACGGTTGCCTCATTGGGCCTCCCACGTAGCTGCTGCTATATATGTGCTTGGCTTGTGAGCTGTTGCTGTCTACCTGTGGCTCAGCAATTTTATTCGTTTTTGTATCCAGATTAGAGGTTTGGGATGGTGGTTGGTTGATATCAAAGTGCCTGAGAGAATGGGAGAAATATGGTGGGTTTTATTTCTTTTTGAAATTATTCGTTTTCAGGAAGTACAAATCTGGAGAGTTTTAAAAAGAATAAATCTCTCTAACAGTAAATTACTGTAGCATAAATCATAGTGGCTTAACTTCACTGTGTCATTTTTAATAAGAAATGTGGTAAGAAATTAAAAGATTGCCATCCCCCAAAAGAAAAAAAATACTAGAACCCAACTTTTACCTCTCTGCTGCTTCCTTGTCTTTCCTTCCTTGGCTAACAACAAAACACAGGCCATCGGCATCCTGCAGCAAAGTGTTGGCACCACAGTGTATTTGAAGATCCACATTTTTCCAGAGAATGAATGTCAGCTCTTCCTTTGCTCTAATGGACACATCCGAGATGTCTCTCCTGCGAACGGTTGTCACTTTTCACTTGCATGCCTTCATGAAAGCTTACTTTATGGCTTGTTTTACTGTGCACAGGATATTCCCATTTTACCTCCCAGTAGAGTTAGAAACGAAACAAACATTTTATTTCTCCCCAGGTTTATCCCAAATAGAAGCAGCCATGTCATAAATAAACCTGCTGAGCCTCCTGTAAAGTTCTGTTCTCTGTGCAGTTGACAAAACATGGACAGGATAGTTAAAATGCAGCAAAATCCGTTGTGAAACAAACACCAGCTACTGTACTGCTTGTATGTGGCAGTGAGTAAAGCTTTTATGCTGAATTGACAAGGGAAAAGTATGTGCAGAGACCTGACGAAGTGCCAGTAGACTTTTTTATGTTTTTTTTTTTTTGTTTTAGCTTCTGTTGGTGCTATTCAAATATTGATATTTGTCTCTGTGAAGAAAACAGAAAAATGAGATTGACTTTTAAAAATAATTACTTCTAAAACATAAGCATAATATAGATGCTTATCATATTTTTTTCTAATATTCTTTTATGTTAAAATATATTTGCAACCTTAATATAAGGAGGTTTTGTTTTGAAGCAATGGCTGGTTGTTTGGCTGTATTTCATTATTAAGTCGTTTTTCGGGGATATGCACTGAGAACATTCAGTAAAATATATACCAGAATGAGGTTTTCAATGATATTTCTTGGAACTGTAAGCAAATCCTTTTGAATTTATGTAATAATTACTTCTTTTGGGTGCCTTACTGCAGTGAAAATTAATTTGTATTAAAAAAAAGTCATACCTCATAATCTCATACACAAAGTAAAAGGATATTTTAAAATAAGTTTATGTTCATGAGTTATCATTATCTTTCCTAAATAAGATGGTGTTACTTGGGGATATAAAACAGTATTGCAGAGACAGTCAGGACAGTTCTAGCAGAATTACGATACAGTAGAGGTACAAGTCTGGTGCTTGGCTTTCTTGCCGGTCTCTTAGCCAGCAGCTGGAAAGAACAAGTCTTCATAACATTTTTATAAGTTGCTTCATTCTAGAAGGTGGACTGAAAAAGCTCAATTATTTTTTTTTTTCTTTGAATAAACCCACAGGACAATTTACATATCAGAAATAGTGAAGATATTTTATTAATAAAAAAATACAACTGTGTGCTGCAGTACTCTTAAGAGTTTATAAAACCCTATGATTTGTTTGATGAATTTAGTAGACCTCTGCTGATGGCTTGGTTGCTTCTTTGCGAGCTGCAGACCACAGTGATCTTGAAAGAGCCATTATATTCTGTTGAATAACTATCACTAGAGGTTTGCATACTTTGTTGCTTCTGAAAGCTGAGCATAACACATGCGCCCAGCTCTCTGCACATCCCTTTGTTTTCCCTTAATCTCCCTACATGCCGCATCCTGGCGCTCTGTTTCCAGAACCTGAAGCCATTCACCACCTCCCTCAATTCATGACAGGGATTTTGCGACTCCATTCCAGAGGTTGTATGCTGCTTATTTCTCTTTTCTTGCTATGGGATATACATGCATACCTTTTTTCCCTCCATTAATCTTAATACAAACCTCCTATAAACTCGAGTCCCTCAAGGAACAGGAAAGAAGCTGCTGGAAAAAACATTTGAAGTCGACAAGTTCCCCGGCACAATCCAGTACCTGGAAGTGTGATAGTTTTCTGGTAGACCAGTTCACTTGGTTATTGGGATGGGGGAGAGAATAACAGCAAAAAAATTATAATCCTGACACTTCAAAAAAGATGTTGACTTTTTGTTTACACCCTTCTTTGGCAGTAGCTTGGAAATATGTGTGGACTTGGGTGGAGGTGAGCGGCTGTTGGAAGAGAAAAAATACATCTGTGCTCACAGAGTCAAAAAAAAAAAAGCTCTGGTGAAGTCTTTCTGTTAATTGTACTCCATCAATATGGGTTGTGCATCAGAGCCTTTATTCTACTTTATCATTCATTTACGGGCTAAAGGCCAGAATGCCTGAGATGAGGTGCTCCGAAAAGCTGCCCCTGTATCCTGTGCTTGCTGGGGAACCCAGCAGTGAGCCTTGGTGCCCCAGGCCAGAAGTGGCAGATGTTGTCAAAAACCAGTGCTTTATTATTGAAAGTTTTCACTAAAGAATTATTTCAATTACATCATTTAATTTGGCAATAATCTTTTCAAGCTTTCTCAACATCAGTCAGACTGCAGACTGTTTTCTGATCTTGCTGGTTTTTGTTGTGGCCTGGGAATGATGTTGCGTTGTTCACATGCCTTCGTGTGCTCTCATCAGTCTCGCTGGTTAACTGCTCCCTGTGTTGCTTCATCACATTAATAACATACCTGAAAAGAACCTGTTGCAAAGGAAAAGTACTTCTTGAATCAAACACAGAGAAGCGTTGCTTTGTTTTCTTCAACTGTTTCCTTGAAAGACCTGCTTTATTACACATTTTCTACTCCTGCAGCAGTGTGGTCTCTAGATGTCATCAGTAAAGTGTAAGTGCAACGAGATCTTAAATATGTTAATAATGTGTCTTCTCTGTTTGTATTTCTCAGGCTGTGAAATTTGAGCCGTATCATGACAGTGCATTAGCCAGATTTCTGCTAAAACGGGGTTTGAGAGTAAGTACTTCAAAATACAGCCAACTTATGCTAGAGCTACTGGCATTATGAAAACCCTTTGTCAGGCAACGCGTGCTGATTGTAATGTTTTTCTTTACCTCTAGAACAAAAGAATCGGTCACTTCTTGTTTTGGTTCTTAAGAAGTGAGATTGCCCAGTCCATGCATTACCAGCAGAGGTTTGCGGTCATCCTAGAAGCCTATCTTAGGGGCTGTGGAAAAGCAATGCTACACGATTTCATGAAGCAGGTTCAAGTAATTGAATTGCTGCATAAAGTCACAATGGAGATAAAATCAGTTTCTGCAGAAAAGTATGATGTCACTTCTCAAGGTATTTACTAAGACATTTCTTCATTTGTAGTAATACTGTTTTTTCTCTTTGAGTGGGAAAATTTATTCAGCAAAATGTACTGTTTGTTTAGAAAATTAATGGATATATTACTCTGAAAGGGCACCATTATTACTTCTTGTAAAGTGCCAGTGTAAGTTGAGAGTGCTTGAACCAATAATACATTTGTGTGCTTGTTCCACCCCAAGAAGGGAAGAATGTCAATATTATAGACACCCACTACATTCCCATGCTTTGACTTATCTTCTTGGCCCTCACACCGTGCAACTGGGAAAGTTAAGTTTTTGTACCCTTAGCTGAATGCCAGTGCTGAAAAAAGAAACAATCCCAGGACATAAGTGTTAACTGGAAACAAAGAGAAAAAGCGACACTTGCCAAGAAAGACAGCCTTACCCTAAGCAGTCCCTAGAAGACTCTTGGCAAGAAGACCGGGGAGGAGTCCAGTACAGCCTCTGCTAGGCCAACGAAAGTAGCTGGTGGATCAGCAGTGAATATACAGAGAACATCTTTGGGGCTTTGCAATGTGCTGAACAGGAATCCTGTGAGACACCGATGTGGTATTGTTATTTCTAGTTCCTGTAAGCACTGCTGGAAGCCACAGTAAGGTTATGCAATGCCTGTTTGCCTTTGGGTTTTGCCTGCCTTCCCCCCTCCCAGACTTCCTTAAAAGCTTGTTTGTCATCATTCCCGGTAGTTGCTTGGTGTTGGGAGTAAGTGCGAGGAGATATATGACAATATCCAAATTCTGAAAGCTGTAGAGAGACCAGATCTTCCTGTGTTCAGCCTGGTATGTTTAGGCCACGAAGTCCTTGACTGGGAAAGCTGTTCCACTCTGGTTGTGCAGAAGTGGCTGTGGTGGTGTTTCAAAAGAAGTTTGAAGGAAATATGCATTTGTTCTTCAATATATAATGTAATATCAGTTACATTACCACATACTATGAGTTAGGGGACTTACTGAACCTCTGTGTAAAATACTCTTTCTAAATAACTTTCTAAAATTAATCTCAAGAGGCTCTGTAATCTAAATATATGTGGTCAGAGTCCCATGTTTTGGAAAGAAACTTTACAGCCTCGCAGATGTACATGTCTGTAACAGCAGTGGTTTCCATAATACATTATCTTTGAAGGGTATGTGGGCAAAGAAGCAAAGTTTCAAGAGAAAGCAATCATGTTAACACCCACCAGGTTTTTGAAGTTAAAGAATCTTTGTATGTAATGTACAGCAGAACATTGAAAGATGACTTATATAATTGACATTTTCACTGAATAAGGCTTCCTGAAACTGTGGAGTGTCCTACTAATGCTATATCTAATTTAATTTATTCTCAGATTATTGAGGATATGATTTTCTTACAGGCACCCTCTACTTCTTATATTTTTTAAAATGTATATCCTAAAATTTCTTCTGTAGTTTGTTGCTTCTTTTTTTCCCCATCATTTTGAATGTTCATAGCCGTTTATATTTTCAGTCTGAATGGTTCGGACTGTTTCGTTTCATTCTGGCATGCAGCCTCATCTAGTTCTTGTATGTATTTTTCTTCCTCCAGTATTTGTGATTTTTTTTTTAAAGAATACATTCCTTCCTGTTAGGTCCATGCTAGTCCAGTAGCAGTCATGCTGTCAAGCTGTTTCTTTCACTTTTGGTGTAATCTCTTTGCTTATATTTGAACATAGCGAGTAATAATAAACAAATACATTCTTAAGATCATAATATTACAGCTCGCATAGGATTATCTGCTTTCATCACCACTCTGTTAGATGATTTGTCTCCCAAGAATCTGTTTATACAGCTGTTTCTTCTCTTAAAATGCATACCGTTTTGTTCTTAAGCCAGATGAACTTGAAATTGTTTTAGCAAGCACCTTCACTTGCGTTTAAAATCAGGTAATTCCTAATCTTTAGTAGTTTCAATTGGTTGGCATACAGTTTTCAAATTACGTTCTATTACAACGAGGAGACTTGAAATCAAGCTAGATTTGTCTAGGAAATCAAAAGTTACGTTTTAGAAAGCTGTTTCATGACCCAGGTTACTACAACCTAGGAATTTTTTTTTCTTTGTTTTCTTTTGAGTTTGATTTTTTTTAAAAGGTTTCTGATTATAAAGTCCTTATTAGGACTTAATAGCTCCTGTATCTTACTCTCAGATTTATTTATTTTTTACCAGAAGAGATACCGTATTGGACACCTCGCACTGCTAGATAGTTGTTTTCTAAAAGCCTTTAGGATAGGTGTAACGTTTGTGTTCTGTGAGTTCTCAGGTTATTCTTGTGGCTTGACTTTCTTAATTTGAAAGCAACTTTTGAAATGTTTTAATTTTCTGAACATAAGCCAGCAATGTGCGCTTGCAGCCCAGAAAGCCAACCATATCCTGGGCTGCATCCAAAGAAGTATGGCCAGCAGGTCAAGGGTGGGGATTCTGCCCCTCTACTCTGCTGTCATGAGACCCCACCTGCAGTACTGTGTTCAGCTCTGGGGCTCTCAACATAAGAAGGACATGGAGCTGTTGGAGTGGGTCCAGAGGAGGGCCACAAAGATGATCCGAGGGCTGGAGCACCTCTCCTATGAGGACAGGCTGAGAGAGTTGGGGTTGTTCAGCCTGGAGAAGAGAAGGCTCTGGGGAGACCTTCTAGCAGCCTTCCAGTACTTAAAGGGAGCTTATAAGAAAGATGGGGACGAACGTTTTAGCAGGGCATGTAGTGATACGACCTGGGGTGACAGTTTTAAACTAAAAGACGCTAGATTGAAACTAGATATAAGGAAGAAATTTTTTACGATTAGAGTGATGAAACACTGGAACAGGTTTCCACTGGAACAGGTGGTAGATGCCCCATCCCTGAAAACATTCAAAGTCAGGTTGGACGGGACTCTGAGCAACCTGATGTAGCCAAAGATGTCTCTGCACATTGCAGGGAGGTTGGACTAGATGACCTTTAAAGGTGACTTCCAGCCCAAACCATTCTATGATGGTATGATTTTATGATTTTGTATATTAAGTGTCCAGGTCCATGTCTAGCTTTCTCATTACATTTTTTTTTGCTCTTTAATTTTTTTCTCCAGAATTACTTGAACATGTATATGCAGCCTCTGCTGTGTAGCTGCAGTTTCCTTTAGAGCAGCGTTCAGGTCTCTGCCTTAACATGGTAGTACCCAGAGTGTATCACTTGCGCTGCTGACACCTGCTAGCTGAGATGAACAAAGTGCATCGTATGTAGTATAATGCATACTGTTCTAAGCTGAAGATTCAGCAGCTGGAGATTTTATGAATTAAAAGATTCCATTTATAGATGAACATTAAAATTCTTGTTCATATAAATATACAGCAAATTTTCTCCTTACTGGAATGCAAGATTAACAAGGCTGCACTATGAAACTAGTTTTAGGAGGATAGGAAATTTGATATCTCTATAGTTGGAGTCCTTGTGATTACAGTATAATTCACTCCAAGAATTTGAAAGCCATGAGTCTGTCTGCAAGAGCAATGAGGTCAAAATAATACTGCAAAATACAAGGTGCTTTTAAATGCCTTCTCCTTCTGAGCCTTTGGGGTAGGTAGTTCAACGTTTCCTTGGCAGTTATAAGGGAAGAATAGGTTTTGGGGTGTTGTACTGTGGTTTTTTTTGGTTGTTTATTTCTTTTAAATGAAAGGTGACATTTTAATGTAGTCTCCTGAGTCCTCAGAAGCACACCAAGCACTGTGCAGTGCTTCTGACACTGTGTAGAGGGCACATGACTTGTGAGGTGCTTGAAGACTTTACCTTTAGGTATCTGAAACAGCCCTGACCGTTAACAGTGCAAGTTAAAGAGTCTTCCTCCATTCCTCAAATCAGGAGATCCTTGAGGAAAGCAATTTAAAAAGCAGCTAAATTGAGAAGGTTTTTAGCTAAATCATGGTGCTTAACAAGTTTGATTACCTCTAACTTTTTTGCATTCCAACTTTTGATTTGTGTTTTCTTACTTGTAATTGCAGTTATTGCACAGCTGAGACAAAAGCTTGAAAAACTGCAGAGCAGCAAACTTCCAGAAAGTTTCAGAGTTCCGTATGATCCTGGGCTAAGAGCAGGAGCCCTAGTGGTAAGTATATTCTGAGTTTCTACAAATCCTTTCTGAAAAAAAATCTCCTGTTTGCAGGTATGTGTCATTTGGTAAAAAATTTTGCTAATATGTCTAAAGGTCTTATTGCACTGTGAATATGATGACTTTTCATGGACTCATTATTTTTTCCCAAAGCTATTAGCATTTTTCTAAATGTAATGACATCCCACCATGCACTAAAAAAATGCAACAACCTGTAAAATCCTAATGATTAAATGGAAGTGGTGATTTTTCCGTTAGTTTAATCCAGGATTTAACCAGATAGCTGACTTTTTTTTTTACATTGAATACCTGTATAAAACTGTTTTGTGTGACTTCAGGGACTTGAGATACTAAGTTTCTGCTCCTCCAGTTACTTTCTGTCTCTTGCCCTGATTCACATCTGTCATTAAGGTTTAGGTCCAGACCTTCATCTTATTAACAAAAATGGCTACTGTAGCTATTTCTGATTTTTCAGTATCTCTATGTTGCATTTGTTGCTTTTATTAGAAAATACATTAAGATTTTTTTTTGAAATACATAAAGAAATACTTGGGGTTTTCTGTGTTGCTGCCTCCAGTTTTGTGGTGAGGTTGCAGTGTCCTATGTCGACTCAGAGTTAAAAACGAGATCAATAAATCAGCAGATGTGTAGTGAAAGGGAAGTGGCTCATGCGTTTACTGTGCAATGTGAGGTTGGAGTAAAGAAGCACAGCGAAGATCCGTGGATTCACTTGATGTACAGCAAGGAGCCTACAAGAAAAGAATCCCTGGATTTTTCTTGTAGCCGAGGACAGACAAACCATCCAATCTCTGGAATTGCCAAATAGCAGAGTACTGGTTTGGGTAACTGATAATAGTTGTCTAGGTCTGGCCATGTTTCTGTTAAATAAACCTGTACCTTGATAGACAGGCTGTGAGCTAGTCTGTCTTCCAGCTGAGAGTTAAACACCTCCCAGCTGGGCACTACTGAGGTACCGTCAGTACAGAAGTCAATTCAAACATTGTTTTCTCAGAAATACAGAATTCGTGGCTTCTTAAATACTATTTTCTTGTTTATATTTCTCCTCTTTAGTCTTTCGTGTACAAAAATCACCAACTGCTTGACAAAAAGTGGATTTCAACATAAAATAAAAGATCTGTCTAGATTTTCTGGTTTTGCTTCACTTAGGAAGTATTCAGCCCTACCAGGACCTTCCTAGATGAAGGACGCAATAGGTTTACAAGGGGAAGTAGCTATGTCCAAAAATAGATGGGTTTGAGCCTTTTTTTTTTTCATCAAAACTATACAAGCAAAAATATTTACTATAATAGACTATATTGGTAAGCTTTCCTTTCTTCTTCATTCTAGCAAATGGTACTTGTCCATAATTTTCAAACCCTGAAATTTGACTACTCTAAACCAAATATTTAGAATCAAAATCTGTGCTGCTAGTAGGTTTTAAGATTTAACAACTTCTTTCCTTTTTAAAAATAAGGATGGTAAAAACTGTTTTGTTTAAACTGCAAGCTCAGAACCTCAATCTATGAAACATGAATATTCCAAAATACTTTTCTCGGATGTCATCAATTCGTTCAACTCTCATACACTAATGTGCAATTGCTTTTAGTATTTTAGATGTCTTTGTTGTACATAGTAATGTTCAACAATGAACTAGGAATTCCAGAATAGAAAGTATCACATACTACGGTTGTATTAGACCTAATTAGGTGAGAAAACATTTCAAATAATGCAAATTTGTCAGTTTCAGTGCTGAATTTCTCAAGATTAAAAATGTAATTAAATAAGAAATTTATATTTTTATTTTATGAATGATTAGGTTAAATTAGTTTCACAAATGCCATTTTCCCTGTGAATTTGAACAATTTGCTAAGGGAATTGAATCAAGAGATCTGGAAAGCCACAAGGGTGAATGATGTGGTAAATTGCATTGGACAATGATTATGTTTCAGTTTTGCAAAGCACCTGCCAGAGTGCTGTTGTGAGGGCCCATATTTGCCAGTTTTGTCAGAGTCTCTTTAGTCCTGGTTGAAAAAGTTTTTTTCTCTCTGAAGCAGATTTATAACCTGAATCCAGTTTCAGAGTCAAGACATGCTTTTTCCTTTGACACGGACAGTGTCAAAAGATGTGCAGGTTCAGTGAGGCTTTATGTGGCAATTGAAGACCGTTCCTTACATGTGCTTTCAGTGTGTTTCTTATGGTGTAACTTTTAGGAAGTTGATAAACTACTCTGTAGCTGGTGTGTAAAAAATTTGGTTGTGTTGGAGTAAAATGACTAGCAAGCAATAAATGTGCCTTTCACAGATAGAAAAATGTAAAGTAATGGCATCTAAGAAGAAACCCCTCTGGCTTGAGTTTAAATGTGCAGATCCAACAGCTTTATCAAATGAAACCATAGGCATAATCTTCAAACATGGAGATGACCTCCGTCAGGACATGCTTATTTTACAGGTATGATAGCTAAACTGTATAAACTTAGTAGTATGAATATTTTAAAATATTTTAAAATCGTTTGACTTTTCAGAAGTGTGCATACCTTATCTTTACTGTCCATATGAAATAGGAGATTGTTGTTTGCTGTTTAAACAGTGTATGGTAAGGCTGACATCAAAACTGGATCTTCTTTCTTGTACTACTGTTTTTTATGTTAGTGTGTTGTGGATTAACCCCGATGGGATGTGGAAAGAGGAAAGGAAGAGTAAAAGCAAGAAAACTTGTGAGCTGAGATAAAAATTGTTTAGTAAGCAAAGGAGAAGTGGAAGAAGGGAGAAAAACAAGTGATGCAAAGGCACTCACTCACCACATCCCATGGGTAGACCCATGTTGCCAGTTCCTGTGCAAAAGATGGTTAACCGACTGTCGTGGGTTGAGCCGAGTCCGGCAAC